CTATAAATAAAAATGGACATGTTTAGGAGTGCATTCCTGCCTTCTTCGCGAATCGACAATTACAACAATCCCCACAGCACCACCACGGCCGCAACTCCCCCTTTCAATACGACTGTGCATACAACTACGGCTCCCATGACCACTATTACTACTACTGCAACTACTAGTACTACTACTGCTACTACTAGTAGTAGTACTAGTACGAACCACAGACTAGACACCGTCCCACTGACGACACCCGACCAAAGAAACGTAGCATCTAATGCGACCATAGTCTACGACATGATGCTGGCATATTTCTGGAAAAACACCGACAAGAACAAGCGATCCGACATTTACGACAGTCTCACTCTCCGGAACGCGGTGACTTCCGCGAGCGACCATCGAGCCGGTAGCGAACGTCTCTTTAGAAAACACGTTTACGAGGTTTTGGGCAGAACCTTTCCCTGGATCCTTAGCGTCGATAACGCCCGCGTCTGCGTCTCGGACCAGAGATCCGTACTGCCCATCGAGATCCTCATTCCACGCAGGGCGGCCTACACCAACGAGAGCGCAGACTTGGCTTTTGTCGGGCGCGTCCTATACGACCAGTACAAATCGGTGATTGATCCGTACGATCACGTCACGTATTTGGTTAGGAATCACCCCAAGCTCGTGGAACGCTACCCCATGTTCTGGTCCTACGTGTTTCTCAAAAACGTTCCGGCGTACAACGATTACGTGGAAGGCGACTGGAGCGACGAGAAGACAATCTTTTCGAGTCAGACCTATCAGGCGGGCTGGTTGAATGCAGACGCAATAACAATGCTGGCAAGCACAGTCACGAATCTGCCCTTTGGCGGAACGGGTGGCGTCGGCGAAGAGCCCGTAGCCCTGGGCGTGCGCGCCATGTACAACCTGGAGTTATTTAGTTCTGCCTACAACGGAGACTACCTGTTTACGGCCGCCGCCATCCGCAACGCGTACAAGTTTGCCTACGACTCGTGCCTCTACGTTCCGCGCGGCGTGGCCACGGCCGAGCTCCGTTTGCTAAAGAAGAGGGAGGTCCTTCTGGGCGTGCGGCAACCCACCATCTCCGACGTGGTCAACGACATCAACAACGTCAAGACGTCGTCCGTCATGGTCTACCTGGACGGAACCGTGAGAAAGAAGCGCGGCGGGGGCATCGCGAGTGGCGGCGTGGGTTGCCTCAAGGCTTCCGGCCTGCAAGAGGACGTGGTGGAGAAAATTGTCGAGAGCGTCGAGTCGACCGTCAAGACCATACTACCCCGACTGTGCGAGACGATAGGAATTCCGAGCGTGATTGCCAACGCCATGACGGCAACGAAAAAGATTCGGCTACTAGACGTGCTGCGCACCGTGGACAACGTCCTCTTCCAACACAGCGACTGGGAAGAGAGAAAAAACAGGGGTCTTGCCGCGATTCCGTCTCTGATCAACAACATAACCAACGAGCCGATCGTCAGCTTTGTGCCGAGCAAAACGGCATACACGCACGTACCCACAGGCAGCACCCTCGAACTACCTGGCTTTGACAACTCGATTGTGCTCTCCACTCATCTCGATCCCGAAACAAACAAGCGCTTCTGTCCCCTCAAGTTCATTTTACAAGAGCCCTTCCTCTATCTAAACAAGGGGAGCGGGCGTTACTTTACCCACTCGAGTGGAGGTCACCCGATGCCCTTCACCCAGGTAGAGGGATTACGCATACTGTATCACTTTCTCGTCCAATAAAAAAAACACAACCTCCATTATTTGGCGTGACCTTGTGTGATGAGAGTACTTAAGCGTCGCCCTTCTACACACACAATAAACGTATTGACACCATGGGTATCCGAAATCTTTGGAATACACTCAACGCAGTTTGCAACCGCGCCGTCGAGGAGGAACTGGCACCGTTACTCGAGTCTTAGTTACAGCTCTTGGACGACCCCGGCAGTAACGTCGAGACGGCCACGAACCTCGTTTTGCGGACGTATTTTTCGCCTACGCCGTCTGCGCGTCACTTCGACTATGAGAGCGTGACGTCCTCGTTCGTGACCGGAGAGTCGGCGCGCATTCAGGTCGTCGTCGACGGTAACATTTTTCTACACCACTGCAAGCACTCGCTGACGGACCACCATCTCAAGACGTTTGCGGACAAGATCGATGCCGCACGAGCGATCGCCGACCGAGAGGAACGAGAGCGAGCGTGGGAAGCCTTGAACCTCGAGCTTATCAAACACTACGTTGGCGAGACCAACGGAGATCTGGTTGGCGATTACGTCGAAGACTATATCGAAGACGACGCGTTTGTTCTTCGAGATTTGGACTGGGACAAGGAGTACGAGGCGAGACCGGGCGAACGCTGCATCCGATACGACGCCTTCTTCACGACGGTGTTTCATTGCATATCTAGGACGGTCAAGAGGGTCGTCAAGGGGCTGTCCCTAAACAGGCGTGTGGAAGTTGACGTGGTGGTGGTGTTTGACGGAATGTCGCCGACGGTAAAGTGGCCCGAGCAGTACAAGCGTCGCAGTAGAGAGCTGGCCAACGTCATCAAAAACTCGTCTGGCGAGGACACCAAGCGAGTTCGGACCATCGAAAATTCGAGACTGCAGTCTGTCCTGAACGGAAGGCTCAAAAACTTGGCACGCTACGGCAAAGACGCCATGGCCACAATCTGCCGATTGACCGCGGCCTCGGACGTGATGCAGCACGTCAGGGAATATGCCACGCTTCTCGAGAACCCACTCTACGCCAAAGAGGTGATTGACGGCTACTCGAACGAGTCGGCTGCAGCGTACCAACTCTCGTCCTTTACGATCCTGCCGCCGTTCTACGTGGGGGAAGGCGACGTCAAGGTCGTGGACTCTTTAATGTGTCCGCCGCCAAACGACGAGCGCTGGGACGTGTCCGTCGTTGTCACCGACGATTCGGACATTCTCCTCGGGGTAGCTGCGGTCGTGGAAAAGATACCCTCGCGAGACGTCTACGTGTATTCGGCCCGCCAGTACAGCGAGAGTAAGAAGCGACAGGACGAACACAGGTTCGAGTTTGGCGGCGTGCAACACGCCGTGTCTCTGCTGGACAAGTCTCTTCCCAGTCGTCAGGCGGGTTACTACCACATCAAGGACGATTTCTTTACTCGCGCTGTACGCGTCAGTAGTTCCGATCTTCACCCGCTGTCGTTTGTGGTGCCAATCTTGCTGTACGGCGGCTACGAGATGCTCCCGTTTATGATAAGCTCATCTAAAAAGGTGGACGGCAAGAAGGTGGACCTGTTTCGCGCAATGATGAACGCCGCAACGAAGGAGACTAGCTTCTTTGACATTTTACTGGCGGCGGTCGATGCCGCGGCACCTATGGAAGGGTCCACTACGCGGAGGCGAGCGGCCGCAATGTCCAAGGACTGGCCCAAGGCGAACGAGCGTCGGCAGAAAGTAGAGGAGATTGTCACGAAATACCTGAAGCTGCTTCAGTACACCGCGCTCTACACCACGCAGCAGGACCGGCTAGCGTGGTACGCAAAGCCCGTAGAGTTTGTGTACGAAGACCGCGTGGTAGAGAGGGACGCGACAACAAACGCTTTCGTCACGCGACCGATCACGACCATGGGGCAGAACAAGGCGTGCCGCGTGAGTCTCGCCGACGTTGCGAGCGTCATAAGGGCCCTAAAGGCCAGCGACGCGTTGGAATCTGCGGTGGACATACGAGCTTACGTTATCGAATCTAGCGGCGAACACCTTGCGGTTTCCAGCGCCATCAAGGCGCTTTCGGCGCTCTACATGATGGGTGCTATGGAGTTTGATGACGACTACGACAATTGGTCGGACGTGGAAGCCCTTGCTGCCGTCTACAAGTGGTACGAGACCCGCTGTCTGTGTCCCTGCATCAAGACGATGGATCTACGACGCGTCTTGTGCATCTTTAGACAGATCAGCGACTGGTCTCGCACGTTCACCACTAGCCTCATCAGACGGGCCTATAAGAAGAACAAGCGGCGACTGAGCAACCTTCGATTTCCTAGTTTCGACGCCATTTACAACGACATGTTGTGAATAAAAGAACGTTTGTTTGGACACACACACACACAGACGCACACACATAGAGACACAGATGTATAGCAGTGTGCAAGCTAGCGTAAGCGTTTATTTTAGGCAAAGCAGACAAACACAAGCGAAAGCGAGTCACTTCTTGTAATACGACACTTTGTAAATGCCATAGTCGTTGGTGGACGTAATGTTTGACTTTGTAACATCTTTTAATATCTGCAATTTCTGTATAGTGATGTAGTAGAAACAGTCGACGAGCCTCAAGACGACCAGATTGTGTAGACACATCCAATGCTTCTCGCAATAAAGGCGATCTGACACATACTGTCCGTCTTCCTTGGGTTTGATTTTGGCCACGAGCGCCGGTAGAGAGGTGGTCACCTCGTAGGTGCCGTGGTACGTGACTGGAATCACGTCGAAGAAGGATTCTTGTTCTTCCAGGGGATCGAAAGTGTAATCGAGTGGCAAAGTGGTCGTCTTGTCGTTTACATAGCTTTGCAGAACGTGGTGGAGAAAGGGTAGAATTGCATGCACGTTGTGATGCGCCGACGAGTGACGGACGTAGAGGTAGACGTAGTGCTTGGTGCATATCACGTCGTGCACCTTGAGATCGCGCAGCACGTTGATGAAGTTTATGCAGTCCACCACCACTCGGTTGGCGTCCTTGTCCCTGTATGAAAAGACGAGTAGATAGCGGGACGACGAGCTGTCTTTCTGACAACACTCTGCTCCCTCTACGACCGATGGGACGTTGTTTTGAATAAAGAAATTTGCGATAGCGATCCAGATTTTATAGGGTATCGATACCGAAAGGTCCAGTTCGCAATGGAGATAGTCTCGCAGGGTCCTCATTTTTTGTTGCGAAAAGATATCGACGAACGTGACCTGTTTCAACATTTTACTCCCTCGATCGTTCAAATCAGTCACCGAACCTTTTTGTTAATGTATATGGGGGCGTTGGCGGTTTTTTATTTCAAATGCATATGGGCACGTTGCTGTCGTCGTCCTTGCTGTGAGGCGCGGACGTGGATGGATTGGAGAGTAGCGGCGCCATCATCGTGGAGACGTCTTCCATGGTTTTACGGAGCTTGTCTCGCATCGAGTTGGACAACAGGTCGTCGCTGTCGCATATCAGTCTGTTGAGAAACTTTGTTTCGACCGGAACGATGACTTCCACGTCGTCGGCCACGGACCACCTACAACGGGCTAGGAAGAGGCGCAAGGCCGTCGCCGAAACAAACTGCCCCCTAAACAGGTTGTAGCAATTAGACACGGAGGCAAAAGCCTCGAGTAGTTCCTTCTCGAGAAATTTCTTGTTGATGACGCTAATCTCGGTCTCGTCCTCGATAAAGAGCTTGATGAACATGTTCAAAAAGTCGGCCAGTACGCGTTGGTCCACCTCGCACGTGGATATGGCCGCCATGGCGCACTTTGCTCCGTTGGCGTCGCGCGTAGTGTGCATGGCAGTAGACATGGACGTGCACCACGAGATGATGGACGACGACACGCTAGGCGAGATGTGGTGTTCCAGACAGTTGGGCGACTGGACCCAGAGTAGAAAGTCGTTAAAGAAGCGCGAGTCGTACAGGTAGGTGTTTTCGCCGCGGTAGCTCCTGCAGAAACGCGTGTGATAAAACAGGTTGGTGGCCATCCGAAATAGCGCCGTGTTTGAGTAGGTGGCAATTTCTTCCTGGCGCGGAGTGGGTATGCCCTTGGTCATCTTGAGGCACTGTAAGGTGGCCCCAAACATGTCCGAGTCCATCATCTCAAAGTTTAGGCACTGTAGAAACAGACCGAGGTTACGGGGCGAGACGCAACAGGCCTGGCTGTAAAATTTGTTGAGCTCCTGCGTGCCCTGGTCCGACTGTTTGTGCACTTCGACGAAGCGAGAGTCCACGCGCCCGTTGCTCATGCACTGTTCTATGATGGAGGCGATGTTAAGGACCGACACCTCGGTGGCCGGCGCCTTCTCCTTCTGCAGGGCTAGCACGTAGTGGTTGGTACGCGGCACGGGGATCGTGTCGGAACTCTTCATGATGAGCTCGTTGTGGTCACGCAGCGTCGTAGAGATGGCCGGATCGATGATGTTGACGTCGTCCGTGACCCGCTCGGCCGGCATGACGGTCCGGAGCGTCATGTAGTCGGTGTCGCAGCGGTACACTCCGTTCTCGACGTTACTCGTGTACAACCTGTTGCTCTCTTCGACCAGGAGGTTGATGACGTCCTGTGGCTTGTTGTTTTGCGAAAACTTTACGCGAATGGCCCCGACAATGTTTTCGTTGACGGTCTGTGGCTGCGTGATCCTGTGCACGAGGCTGAGACCGTTGGCCACGTCGAGCCAGTTGTGGCCCATGGCGCTCTCAAACTGAAAGATGGGGTTGCACTTTACGCGCACCGCCGCGTAGTTGCACAGGGATACTAGCATGACCGCCGTAATCTTGGCTGCCGTCCTTGCGCCCACCGCCATACCGCGAGTCGCCTCGCGCGCATGGGAAAATATCTCTTCGATGTAGAGGAGTAGCAGGCGCAGAATGGCAGTAGCGTACGCGTCCACGTACGGCTTCAGATCCCTGATGACGCGCTGAGTGGTCGACGAGGAAGAGGTTTTCCTAAGTATGTTGAGACTGTTTCGTACGTATTCGATTCCCATTACGCAGTGAAATACTGTATTGTCATTCAGGAGCGTTTGGATGGCCATCTGATCCATGTCGACCGTCATCAGTATGTTACTACCGAGCTCGAAAACGCGAAAGAGCATATCTGCAACCGGTTCCACATCTCCGTTGGTCAGGAGCGTCGTGCGCGCCTTGGTAATGTGCTGCATGAGTTTCTTGGACGAGTAGCCGAGTAAGGTCGACGTGTCGTTCGGGAGCGTGGGCACGTATTTATCGCCATCTCTCCTGTAAGACACGTTTTGATTTCCCCGCTGCCGGAATACGGGTAATAAAATATCGGTGGCGTCTTCGTGATTCACCGAGTGTTGACATCGTCCCTTTTTCAACAGGTCTAAAAAATTTTCTGCGACAGACATTTTTATAATAAACAAAATTGCTACCGCCTATGGGAGGTCGACTCCGCTCCCAGTCGAGGTCAACCTAGATATGGAGAGAATATATATTGCGCACCGAGTAGAGGGCTCCTCTCATTATCGTCGCTATGGCGCACCTCGTTACGGATCCCATAAGCAAGGAAGTCGTGCGTCGCTTCAAGACGTTCGCCGAATGGCGACTTCGCACCAGAGCCACGCCTCGAGACTTTGCCTATGCCGGCCTAGAATATTGCGCTGACCGGAAACACATCTACTGTCGGCACTGCAAATTTCAAGTCGCCGAACAGGACTGGGAGACGCTCACGTTTCACCCGATGGACCTTCACCGCCGAATGCCGTGCAAGTTTCTCGAGCAGTACAGGGACCCGCGGCTGAACGTAGCAAGGGTCGTGTCCGTCTTGCCGAGCTACTCTCACCCGGTCTACAAGAGATACGTCGACGAGAAGATTCGAGCCAAGACCTTTCACGATGTTCGAGGCCCTGCGTTCGCCAAGGCCGGCTTTTTCTGCTCGCACGACGACGAGCAGGGCTACCTCTCCCGCGAACAGATAGTGACCCGCATATTCGTTTGTTTCTACTGCGGGGTGCAAGTATTTTCGATCCTCGACTGCGAAGAAGACGATCCGTGGCTGCTACACGCCCGCAGGTCCCCCAATTGCGTGTTTCTACGAGTGAACAAGACCTATTACTACGTGCACGATGCAGTCGAAAAGGTTTACAGGAGCGAGATGTACTGGGCGTCTCACTTTCCCGAGATCGACGATCTCGTCAAGGACCCAAAGTTCCGCAACAGGACTATGAGTACTCTGTACACGGCCAACCTGACGCATCCCTTGAACGTATCGGCGATGGTGAGTGCCATTCGGAGCAGCAAGGCGACTCCGTTGGGCAGTCACACTCTGTTTGAGCCAGTGAACGCCCTTCCTTCGTTCGATCACAAGGCTATCGGTAGGTGGGGTAACTTTGTGATGGATAGCGCGATCTGTGATACGCACTATTCCGCTATAAAGTCACGAGACGAATCAACTAAGAGGTGCATCGTATGCACGAAGGCTCCGGCTAACATTGCCTACTTGCCGTGCGGACACTGCGTGTCGTGTTTCGACTGCACCATATTATTCAAACATTGCAAGGCCCGTAGACTCAAAATCGACTTTATTTCTAGAGTCTACTTTGCTTAAGAACATGTCTTTCTACTGGAGACTGTTCGACCACGACCCGACTGTGGCCAAGGTGATGTCCGACTTTAAAACTTTTGCGACGTGGCCTTTGCGCAACAGTACCCTCACACCCAAGGACTTTGCCATGGCAGGACTCGCCTACGATCCGGAGAAGCGGATTCTCAGCTGCTCGATGTGCCAGCAAAAGACTCAACTCTCTACTATCGTGGCCTCGGACGAAACACTTCCCCAAGGACTGCACGAATCCGACTGTGACGCACCGCTACGCACGCTGAGTCCAGACGTCTCGGCGGTGGTGACCGAACGAGCGCTTGCCTTTAGGCCCGAGTTTCAGACTTACACTGCGAGGTTCGCCTCCTTCGACGCTCGGCCGAAAGAAGAAGACGTCTTTGACGTGGATTACATGGCATCTGCGGGATTTTATTACCTGACCGATCGGACCGTGGAATGCTTTTGTTGCGAACTTCGGTTGCTTTCGTGGGAAGCCGACTACGACGACCCAGTCGAGGAACACGCCAAGTACAACCCTCGCTGCCCCTATCTTCGATTGTGCGCGAGCGTAACCTACATCAAGGAGGTGTCCGACGTGTATAGAAATAGCGATTTATTTTGGTTGCTAGAATATACCAAGGACATTGAGTTTGTCTCAAACAAATACAGCCTAGACTTTATAACAGCATTGGCCACTTCCAAGTTTGATCTTTCCTGTCCGAACAAGCTAAAGTCCTTTCTCGAAAACAGCGATTCTTTTTCGGCGCTGAGCGTAGGACGTCCGTATCCCGCGCGCATCGACAAGACGAGCATCTCCATGAAGCGGTCCGATCCGTCCACGACGATTTGCGTCGTCTGCATGAACTGTCCGGTGTGTATAGTTACTTTGCCCTGTGCCCACGCCGCCTTATGTTTAAATTGTCTATTTCCAATGATTTACAATTCGAGAGAGCAATCTGTGTGTTGCCTTTGTAAATCTGCAGTGAGTGGAATGTATCGAATTCATTAAATAAACTATTTGTACTGGCACTAGTGTAGTGTGCATGCAAAAGAACGATTCGTGACTCAAAAATATAAGCACGCGAAATATTTATTTTCAAGCATAACTCAGTCGTCTTCTTCGCCCATTGAGTCTTCTCCTTCGTCGTAGTTGAAGGTGTTTAGGACGATCGGACCCAGCATTCTGTCGTCGTCCGATTCGAGATATTCGTCGGCGTCACTGTCGTAGTCGTCACTGTAGCCGTCGTCACCGTCACCGTCGTCACTGTCGAGGTCTTGGTACTCGATGTCACCCACAACACCGTCCACACCTTCGATAACGTCTAGGTCGGTTGGCGCAATGTTTCTTAGTGACGGAGACACTGTGCTAGAAATACACAAAGTGTATTCACCAAGGTAGACGTCCTTGTTGGGGACGTCTCTAGCGGTGAGTAGTCAGTCTTCGATGCACGTTGAGAAATTGGTGAAGCGTTTCTCGGCGTATAAATCCGAGTCCGGTCATGCAGAGGCTCCGTATGCCAACGTCGATGATCCTCTTTTCTGCGAGATACATCAAGGCTTCGTCGTCTAGGTCTAGGCACGATCAATCTGCAAGTGAGTCAAATTAGGTAGATCGTCCGCTAAGCACTTTACAGAGTCGTTGGTCAAGCCGGGTGCGTGACGTAGGAGCAAAGTCTTGATGTTCGGGTAGAAACGAACCAAATCACTGACGTGGCGGTCTCGCAGCATTGGATAGTGCACCAACTCCAAGAATGTGATGTGCGTAGGAAAGCTTCTTAATATTGAAATTTCGGTATACGCACAGTGAATTTGCCCTTCCACGTTGTCCCAAGCGTAGCCCTCTTCTTCGTGGTATATACTAAGCACCACTGTTTTCCAATCCACCGCGCTTGACACTCTGGACTGAGCGAACACTTGTACGCAGGTGTCGGCCAGCGGGAGAGATGGGGACCTGTCTAGTCGAGCCATTGTCGCTTTGGGTTATAGGGTAGTAGTCGGGTCGTGTCGTGATGTCGGGGGAGAGGGTAGGGTTAGCTTTGCTGTAAGCGTAGTACGTGCGAGTACATATATATATATATACCCTCACTCGCTATCTGAAAACGGAGATAACGTTTCGCTACAAAAAACAAAATCGTACATTTCCTGACTCAACTGATTCGAAGCGCAAAAGACAAAGTGCGTCACGTTATCTTTAGAGGCGAAGAGTTCCGTCGTTATCACCAAGATAGCGTATATAGATTCGTTGTTCTGCAATATCACTCGAAGGACAGCTCGACTGGCGTTTCTTATTCCAGTCAGACACAAACTCTTGAGTCGACGCAAAGGAGCCAGATGAATCAATCCCTCGTTCCTGATACGGCCACCGTTGTTGCTGATTTGAAGATGTTCGAGAGATTGAGCGTAGGTCGCCAAGTATTGTAGAGCAGAGTTTGACAATAGGGGGGCGTTCCTCAGGAGTATGGTCTTGAGGTGCGTATACGTACAAACAATGTACAACAATTGTGCGTCCTCCAAGGTCGGATAGTCGACAAGGTCCAAAACGGTCAGAGCGTTCGCGGACACATGAGAAAGTTTACAAATTTCGGAGAACAGGACGACCCTCTCTCGTTCAAACTCTTCCTCATTTGAGTCTTCCGAATAAACGTTGGCCACTACTCTGCTCCAGTCGAAGGTTCGCGATTGATCAAACTTGGTGGCCTCGCGAAACACTTTGGACACGCTGGATGCTACTCCGGTCATGTTCTACGTTTGTCGACGCGCTTCGGCAGGCGCGCGTATATATACGTACGTTTTGTGTATGTAGAAAAATAAAGCCTCTCGAATGATTGTTTGTTTATTTCAAAAAAGACACGTACTAGACGTTGCGCAAAGCTCGCATAATGTGATCGCTTTCGGTGTAGTATCTCTTGTACTTGTAGCGCCTGATCTCGTCACTGACGTCGTCGTCACCGTCGTCACCGTCTTCAGCGTCATCGTCGCTATCCACGTTGCGCTCAGCGTAGTCGTCGTCCGAATATCCGTGAAACTTGGGCT